AGCTATTGTTTCTCAGTTGCTGTCCACCTTGTTTTGAGACAGGGTCTCTTGTTGGCTAAGTAGGCCAGGCTGGTCAGCAAGCCTCAGGGGATCGACCTGTCTCCACTTCCTCAGTACTGGGATTACAAGTGTGCACCACACTTTTTACATGGATTTGGGGACTCAAACTCAGGTCCTCAAGTCTGCAAGGCAAGCACTTTACTTAGACTGTCACCCCCACTTCTTAAATTCTTAATTCCTTCATGAGATCCTCAATTTAGAGGTTTGCTATGTTACCATTATATTACACTATAGAAAGGAGTAAGGTAGGGCCATATTAATTTTGGAATAAGTAAACGGTGTCTTGGTTGAGGTTTTCTAGAGGAACAGAAATAAAACACACTAGCTTACACTATACAATATGAGATGGGCAATACAGTGATGGCTATTTACAGGATGGAGAGGCTGAGAACCAAGTAGACAGCTACTTAGTGCATGAGGCTGGGTACCTCAGCAGTCCCAGTCTAGCCAGGAAGGCCTGAAGGAGTCCCGGAAAGCTGCAGGTCTTCCATCCACATTGGAAGGCTGAAGCTGGGTTCCAGATGTCAGTGAAGGACAGTAGCAGCTGTGAAACAGACCCATTTACCAGCAAGGTTTAGGTGAAGACGGGATTCTTGTCTACATAAACTAAGAAAAGAATTTCAGAATGTCAAGACAAGGCAGAGTTGATGTTTTCTAAGAGCATTTGATCTGGGCATGAGAGCATAGGCATGCAATGCCAGCATTCAGGAGGCAGAGGCTAGAGGATCACTATTAAGTTCGAGGTCAGTCTGGTGTATATAGTGAGTTCCAGGCCAGTTATTATTATTTTTTGAGACAGGATCTCACTGTGTAGCCCTGGCTGGCCTAGAAGTTGCTGTGTAGAGTCCAGGCTGGCCTGGAACACACAGAGATCAGCAGAGGTAAGTCCCAAGTATTGGGACTATTTTTTTTTTTTAAACATAGATTAACATGGGTCAATAGAGACACTGAGGAAAAGGAGAGCAAACACCTAAGACATGGTCATCCCCTTCTCAATGAGTTGCCTATGTCTTAGTAACAGCTATAAACAGGATTTTGGTGGCTTCTGGGGTAACAGTTCAAAGGGTTTCTAAGGGAATCCTATCCCTGCTACCTGTACTTTTTCTTTCTTTCTTTTTCCAGTGAATGAGATCATTGGTAGCTCCTAAATACACTAGCTACTGCAGGTTGGCAGAATACTACATAACAACTTTGTATACAATTGTGAACTTTGTTTCACAATTCTGTGAAACTCTTAGAAAGCTATAGACTTACAGGTGGGAATAGAGTAGGATTTAACTCTAAGATCATATATACCTAGGCCTTAACCACTGTTCTTTGCTATTTTAACATTCTTATTTGAATTTTAAAAAGACATTTTATAATTTTAAAAAGAGTATGTGTATATGTATGTGACTGTGTTGGGTATGTACCCAGGAGTGCAGGTGCTTGAGTTACAGGCAATTGTAAGCCACCTGACCTGAGTGCTGGGAACCAAACAAGAAAAAGAACAGAACACACTCTTAACCACTGATCCATCTCTCCAGCCCCTTATTTGAAATTTTTATTACATCTTAGTTATTGGGGTATATGAGTGGGTATGCAAGTTGTCCTCACACTTCCATACATGTGCATTTCACGCCCACAAATACACACATGCACACGCACATAAAATAAATACATAAAATACAATTTTTAAAAAAGATATTGATGTGTTGAAGAAGCAGACCCTACAGATGGCTTAAAAGGTTTGTGTGTGTTGATAAAAACCAACTCAACATTTAGGGACTGCTACCCTAAAGAAGAATCAGAAGTCATAGGTACATTGTGATGATCAATTCAACAACACATGTAATATCACCTAAAGCCAATAAAACATGAAATATATCTAAAAACCTGTGAAAAAAAAGAGTTGGGGGGACTTAGTCACTCTCCTTTCAAATCCATGACCCCACTCCCTTTTCTGCAATGCTGGCAATTAAGTCCAGGGCCTCATGTATGGTAGCCAAGCACTCTACAATTCTGTCAGAGTAAATGCCACTGTGGCTGAAGTCTGACTGACAAATGCATGTATTAATTCATCTATACCCGACATATAAAAAATATAAAGGATATTCAAGACTTAAGAATCTTCAAGGGACATTTGTCTTTTTGAGACAGGGCCACCCTGTAGCCCCAGCTGGCCTGTAACTCACTATGTAGGCCCAAGTGGCCTTGAACTCACAGAGATCTGCCTGCCTCTGCCTCCGAGTGCTGGGATTAAAGACGTGCACCATCATGCCTGGCCTTCAGGGGGAAATTTTTAGAATAGAACTGTAAATATTTCAGATACTAAGTTGCTACAGTTTTTTCTTAAATATAGACAAAGCAGACTATAGTGATGTCTCAGCAGTTAAGACCAGTTTGGTTCCCAGCAACAACATCAGGGGCTCACAACTACCCCTCTAGTTCTAGGGGATCTGACACCTCTTCTGGCCTCTGTGAGTACCTACACACACACTCAGGAACACATATATACATGTTAAAATAACAGGAGCTGGAGTGATAGTTCAGCAGTTAAGAGTACCTGTTGTCCTGAGGACCCGGGTTCAGTTTCCAATACCCACATGATGGCATAGAAACCATCTGTAACTCCAGTTCCAGGGGATCCAACACTTTCTTCTGACCTTCTCGGGTACCAGGCACCCACATGGGGTGCGCTTGTGCACACGTGCGCACACGCGCACGCACATACACACACACACACACACACACACACACGTGCACACACTCATCTAAAATAACAAATCTTTAAAAAAAGATAATCAATATAATACTTCCCTTAAATGTTTACAAACATAAACAAGATTAGAAAAACAGCAAAAGAGGAAAGATAATTTTAGACAAATGCAGACTGAATGACCTTTATTTTGTAAGGAATTTAGAGAGCACGGGCAAATATATATTGATATTGCATTAAAAAATTCTGTACATCATTCAAATTTTAAAAATCAGTCTGTGTAACACTAAAAAAAAGCACTAAGCAATGTTTCCTTTTAGAACAAAATATTATCAGTGGTTCATCACAACTAGACATATAAACATAAAGAAAATGCTAAAATGGTATAAACTTCTGAATCTCAAAGTAACCCAGTAAGTTTCAGGGAGCACCAATTGCCACCAGTGTGAGACTGCCATCTATTCTGATAAAGGAAACAAACTGTGTCCTGGGTGACAAAGATAGGCAAATAACTACAATAGGGTAAAAAACAAGGAAGTCTCTGATGACTGGAATTTATGTATAAAGTTTTGTTTCCTTTTTTTATTACATGTCATTTGTCTATTTTCTTCAAGTAAAGTTACTGGATATGCAAAGGATCTAAAAATATTTCCAAGTTACATTTTACTTTTACAGTAAATAGATCACTTTATACTGAACAAATGATACTCTTCTGTTACTATGGCCATGAACTAAGTTAAGATAATTTAACAACTATGCTATGCTTTGATTTGAAAAAATGAAACCTGTAAGCCAAGAACATATACATGTTTGTTTTGTTTTGTTTTGTTTTGATATGACACCATCTCACTACACAGTACTAGCTGACCTGAAACTCATTATGTACAATAGGCTGGTCTTGAACTTAGAGTGATCATCTTGCCTCTGCCTCCCAAATGCTGGAATTACAGGTATGTGCTACTATATCAGTTTTAAGTCAAGAATGTTTAAAGAACTTTTCTGTCCCTTAATTTAAGAAATACTTAAGTTCTAATATATCAAGAGTCTTGAAAAGAACATTAGGTAATCTGATAACCATTTAAATAAGAACATTCAAGGATTAGATCCTGTGGGTTCTAAAACACAATTTTTGATTCTTTGTACACTAAATTTTACTGAGAGATGCTGTATTCTGCCTAAAACTTAGGTACCAGTACTTAATTTATTCGATCATTCATTCATTCATTTGTACTATATTTGTTTGTGTGAGAGCACAGTGGTATGCATGTGGAAGTCAGAGAACAACTTTCAGGAGTCAGTTCTCTCCTTTCACCATGTGGGCAACAAGGATTGAACACAGGTCATCAGTCTTGGCAGCAAAAGCCCTTACCAGCTGAGCCATCTCACTGGCCTAAGTACCAGTACTTAACAATTTTTTTCTTTCTTGTGATGCAAGGAATCAGATGTAGGATCTTGGGCATCCTTAGGCAAGTGCTTTACCACTGACCTACATCTCCAGCCTTGTTTGCTTTGTTTTTTTGACATAAGGCTCATTTTATAGCCCAGTCTGGCCTGTAATTCATGAATCTCCTGCCCCTGCTGAGATTAGCACTACGCCTAGGTCTTAAAAAATTGTTTTAAGAAAAAAAAAGTTTATAATCTACTCAATTATCCTGAGGGGGAATTAGAATAAAAGTAATAATGATGGGGCTGGAGAGATGGCTCAGCAGTTAAGAACACTGGTTGTTCTTGCAGAAGACCAGGGTTCAAATCCCAGCACTGGTATGGCAGGTAACAATTATCCGTAACATCAGTCCCAGGATTTCCGACAGCCTCTTCTGACCTCCACGAGCACTGCACAACACAGGTACACTTACCTACATTCAGGCAATACATGCATGCACATAAAATAAAAATATTTTTAAAAGTTAAAAAAAAAAAAAAAGGGCCGGAGAGATGGCTCAGCAGTTAAGAGCACTGACTGCTCTTGCAGAGGACCCGGGCTCTATTCCCAACACCCACATGGAGGCTACAAACCATCCTTAACTCCAGTTCCAGTGGGAATCAAAGCCCTCTTCTGACCTCCGCAGCAATGCACAACATGGGTGCACTCACATACATGCAGGCAATACACTTGTATACATAAAACAAAAATAAATAAAATATTTAAAAAGCTGGGCGTGGTGGCATACGCCTTTAACCTCAGCACTCGGGAGGCAAAGGCAGGTGGATCTCTGTGAGTTCAAGGCCAGCCTGGTCTATATAGTGAGTTCCAGGTCAGTTGGGGCTACAGGGAGACCCTGTCTCAAAAGACCAAAAAAAAAAAAAATTAGTAACGGTACTTGTATATACCATAAATGTCTAAAGAAACACTTTCAGAGGAAAAATAAAGAATATTTAATATTCACAGGTTATAATCATTTTCTCAGAAATATATGAGTGAAGAATGGCAGAGCCAGAGGTTGTGAGGGGACCCTAAAGGTAGTAAATAATACATTTCTTTGCAGTGTAAAGAAATGGAAGTCTGTAAGTGGTAATCCCAGCACTCGGGAGGTAGACGCAGGAGGATCATAAGTTCAAGACCAGCCTGAGCTACATAGAGACTCTGTCTCAAAAATAGAAAAAAGAAATGCAAAAATCCTATTATACTACATATCTTTAATTTTATAAAAACCAAAGGTAAACCAACTATTACTCATTTATGATAAAAAATCAAAATAAAAACTCTGAACCTATTTTGTAAAACTTCTATTTTAACATTCTTAAATCCAGTTTATATGTTCCATTGAGTCAAATAAGGTTTAAGCTTAAGAGGTGGTGACACAAAATATTGACAAGGAATTTTCCCTTTTCTTAGGAGATCAAATTTCATTCAAAGATGCTAAGGTCATAGCCCCTTAGTAACTTATATACTTTATTACAACATTCAATACAAACTTCCAAAGTTTCCAGATGCTTGAAATGTTGGTTTACACTAAAGGGTATCACTCGATGAAAACAGGCCTGATTTAAATATAGTTTGAAGAAGAGTGGAGGTACTTACTGACAGAAGACTTCTTTAAAACACTAGTTTCTTGTATTTAAAAATAAGCAAGACAAAGTTTTCAAAGTCTTACTTTACAATACATTGTAAACTTCAGACAACTGCCACATGTATCACAGACCAGCACAGGTAAAAAGTGGCTCCTAGATGTTTATAATACTTTATATCTTCCTTTATTTGTTGGTTGGTATGAATTTTGCTATGATAGAAAATAAAAGAGATACGGTTAAAAAAAGATGTATAAGATCATTTTAACAACTTATAAAACTATCAGATATCTACTACTGAGCCATCTCTCCAGCTCCTAAATAAAATATTTTTTAAAAAGAATCCTACCCCATCCATCTTAGAAGGCTGTAGCAGATCTAATCTTTGCAAACATGAGACAAAATCTGAAAACTGTGATGATCTTTTCTCCCAACCTTTGATTGTAATCCAATCTTTCTATAATGTAACTTGTTTTCTAAATCAATGAAACTCAAGGTTTCTGGCTCAAAGAATCAGAAGAGTCTTGTCTTCATGTGTAAGTGCCTCAAAGAATAGATAATTGCATATTTTTTCTGTCAAAAATGTAATTTAACTCTTTTCCAGAGCTGTATATCAATAATTTGAAGGACATTAAAAAAAAAAAAAAGCAAATACTATGTTCTGACAATAAAACTTCTATTAAAAAAAAACTATCAGATATCTGAAATTAAAAGGGGAATGTTATTGCATGAAGGCGGAAGGAACTGTTCAATGAGTCATCGGTTTCTTTGTTGACTCAAACACTCCTTCCTTCACAACTATAGTGGTAGTCTAGAAGCATAAAGTTCTTTTTTTATTATTCTTTTATGAAAGTCTCGAGACCTATGTATGATTTTTTAAATATTTTTTTTTTAATTTTGGATTTATTTTTATGTATGTGAATGTTATGCCTGCATGTATGTAGGAGGCCAGAAGAGGGTGTGGTGTTGAAGCCTCTAGAACTGGAATTACTGACAGTTGTTAGCTGTCATGTGGATGCTGGGATTTGAATCCAGGTCTTCTGCAAGAACAGCCAGTGCTCTTAACCACTAAGCCATCTCTTTACCTCTGTATATTATTATTAATTTGATGTTATGAGACAAGGTCAACACACTCTCCAGCCTAGTCTGGCCTTGAACTCATGCCATCAATCTTCTTGCTTCAAACTCTCAAGTGTTACAATTACAGGTGTGAGCCATGACACTCAGTTTGAAGTCCTTGACTTAACTTAAAGCTTGTTTTTCATTTCTTTTTGTGTGTACCCTCTTTTTAAATTGGGGGGGTTGTTATTTTGGGTTTGTTTGTTTTGAGACAGAGTCTCACTATGTAGACCTGGCTGGCCTCAAAGAAAACTGCCTATCTCTGTCTCCTAAGTGCTGGGATTAAAGATGTACACCACTATGCCTGGACTCTCTTTTGAAATCTTATCCCCACCAAAAGAATTATGTAAGTAGAATTTCAGAAAAGCTCTCAAATATATATTCATAAAATAATGAACCAGACTTCCTTCCAATGCATCCTTATTCCATCCAATGAAGCTGCTGTATGGAGAGTTGACTATCTTCAATTGGCACTTAAGATATAATGATGTATCTGCTGCCCCTTAAAAAGGCAGGCTTTTAGCAACCTGCTTTTTTCCCCTAAATTAAATTAAGACACTGCCTAACTTAAAAACAATGACAGCAGCAGGATATGGTGGCACACACCTTTAATCCCAGAGCTAGGGAGGCAGAGTTTGAGACCAGCCTGGTCTACACAGTGAGTTCCAGGCCAGTTGGGACTACAGGGAAACCCTGTCTCAAAAAGACCAAAAAACAAACAACCCCACTGGCAACACCACCATGTGTGTTGGCAAAGATGCAGAATATCTGGAATTTTCATATACTTTGGAAACTGGTAAACGCCTTTGGAATCCTGTTTAGCAACACCTACTAAAAAGATAAAGTATAGAGCCAGGCGTTGTGGCACACGCCTTTAGTCCCAGTGCTTGGGAGGCAGAGGCAGGCAGATCTCTTTGAGTTTGAGGCCAGCCTGGTCTACATACCGAGTTCCAGGCCAGCTGGGACTGCAGGGAGACCCTGTCTCATAAAGACCAAACAATAAAAACAAAAAGATAAACTATATAGAATTTATAAACAAAAACTATATTCCAAGGTATATTCTCAAGAAAGAAACATATTAATGTGTAGCAAAAAGACACGGACGCAGGCTCACAAAATTGCTATTCATAAAAGCTAAAAAAGAAAACAATCTTGAAGTTCAATATGTAAGGCAACTATTGTATATTTATATACCTAAATGCCATAGAGGCATAAAAATGAATAAATTATTGCTACCTGCAGCAACACAGACTGACCTCAATATAATGCTGAGCTATAAAAGGAATACACACAGCATATAATGAACACTTTATAGAGCTCAAAAACAAGCAAAACTTATCTATGAATATGGTTAGTTGATGGAGATGGATAGTGACAAGGTCATTTGCAAAGCTCCTAGAGGGTAGTAAATGTCTATATTTCTTAATTTGCATATTGATTATGATTTTGCCTACTTTAAAAATTCATCAAGATGTTTGTTTTGAGAAAGGATATCATGTAGCTCACCAAGCTGAACTTGAACTCCTGAACTCCCTGCCTCCACCTCTCACATGCTGGGATTATCAGTGTGTGCCAGTCAAGATTGGTATGAATTGTATACTTGTCTGTACAGAGTTCAATGAATTATTTACTTAAACAAGTAAGCACTTGAAGATTTTACTCACCAGTCGGATCAGTTCTTCTTTTATGAGCCTGGTGATTTCTGCCTTTGCTTTCTGAACAGCCAATTCATTGGCACCTGATGATTTGAGTAGAAATCATGTGATTCATATTATAAGAGTTATACCAGATATTTCTCCAATCATGGAAGTGTTAGAGGAAATACTGCAGGTAACATTTATGAACACTTCACTGCCTGCCAACACAGCTGTTCAATGTCTGGTAGAACAACTTCCAAGTTATATAATGTCCACTTATTATTTTAGATATCTTTAGAATTTCAAATGTACCTACCACTGCACAGTGTCAAGAGTTCTGGTATGTTGATTTTAAAAAGATCAAAGAATAGTACTTATCCAGAAGAGAAAAGGCTAAAGGGAAATATAATTCTTTGATTTATTCACTTAAGTATTTATTGGACATTGATTATATTCTTTGAAGCCTACAAATTGTGTAAGGAAAGTGTCTTCTGAACAAAACCTCAAAGATGAACAGAAGACTATCCAAGTCACAGAAAGAGATGAGAGCATGCAAAAGAAACCCATTTCAAAATAAAAAAGTGGCACACAAGAAAATATTTAATAAAGCAGTAACTGAGATCTTTTATAATTTAAGCTTTCATTCTATTCTGTTAAGTTTGACAAATACATTAAAAGTCAATGAGTTGGCTTTTTAAATAATTTAAAAATGATGAACTTGGTGTTACTTGAATTTTACCCCAATTTACAAAAGCTCCACTAGTGACTAACACCTAAAATAAACATTATTTCATGAATTAGGTCCTAAGTGGCACATGTGGCTGATAAATTTTAAAACCACTTCTAAATAGGGATGGTCTAAGCAAAACTGGAAATCTGAGACTGTATGGAGAACAGTATGACCCACACAGGTAGCTCACTTTCGATAGTTCAGTTCTTTCTATCTTGGTTCTATTACACATAAAGTTAAAGAAAATAACAAGAACCCACAAAATCACCAAAAAACTAATTCTTAAAAACCTATTACAAAGATGTTCCGATTAAACAAACCTATTATATAATAGAGCAACTCATCAGAAAATAATCGGGATAGAAACTAATTGAAAACCAAAGCTGATCTCCTTTAGATAATACATTACTTACATCCTCTAGGACATGGTACCAATTGTCCACCTACTGTTTTGGTAAAGGTCTGAATGATCTTCACTGGGCATAATTTCAAAGGGAAGATTTGGCTAAATATTCATTAAGTGACTAGAGCTGACTTATTTTCTAACTTAAACTTTGGTCAAAATCTTTTGCTTAGTAGAAAAATGGCAGTCCCTAAAAGTCATACTTTCTTTAGAGTAATTTTCAAACTTGTCTCACAAACAGATCATTAACCTTTCTATATTTACTGAACTTCTAAACAAAGACCTCAAGTGATATATTGTAATACCTTTTCCGTCCTCCCTACAGTTGACTTCACACTAACTTGCATTATATCTACATCAACCTTGATCTAACTCAAGTCTCAAGCAGAACCAACAGTACATACTTTCAATTGCCAAGTAAATTTTCCGTTCTCCTTCTTTGGGTTCTTTCCCAGGAGGGAAGTACGTTCCTCTGATTGTAATTGCTGCTTCAGAATACTCGCTGATTCTCTGCAGAGCTTCTTTAGAGGTAACTTTCCACCTAGCCGTCTAAAAGAAAGGTTGAAGGGGAAAAAAAATCAGTTCATAACATAAAAATCTGTGTTTCAGGACCATCGAGATGGCTCGGGGGTAAAGCCTGTTCCCAAGCTTGATGACCTGAGCTCAACCCAGGAACCTACATGGTAGAAGGAGAGAATCCACTCCTACAAGCTGTCTTCTGACCTCCACATGCCCATTGTGACACCTGTGCCTACCCCACCCAACACATAATAAAATGTAATAGATATTTTTTTAAAAATTCTAGGATGACAAAGAATAGACTGAATTTCTATTGCTATCTCTCCTATACAGGTAAAAAAACCCAAGCAGTTACTTGTTTACTTAAAAATAATTCTTGGAGCTGGAAGGATGGCTCAGCAGCTAAGAACACTGGCTGCTCTTGCAGAGGACCTGGGTTCTATTCCCAGTACCCATATGGAGGATAACAACCATCTGTCTGTAACTCCAGTTCCCAGGGATCCAACACAACCTCTGGCCTTCTGGCCTCTGAGGGCACTGGGTGACACGGGTGCACTTGTATACATGCAGGCAAAATACACATAAAATAAAAATAACAAAATATTTTAAAAAATAAAATCTAAAAAAGAAAATAATAATAATCTTGTTTTAGGGGCTGGAGGTACAGTTCAGTCCTAAAGTGCTTAACTGCATGCATCAGGTCCTGGGCTCTCTCCCTGGCACTGCAAAAATAAATCAACAGGGACAGGTGTGGCAGTGCACACCTGTAATGCCACTTGGGAGGTAGAGGCAGGCGATCAGAAGTTAAGATCATCGTTAACTATATATTGAGTTCCAAGTCATCCTGTACTACATGAGAGCCTACCTCAAAAAATTAAAAACAAAACAACAAAAACCTAAATAAATAGTTCATGTGTTTTAAGGAAAGGATTTTGTTCCTATAAAGCAAGAGTTTATACTTCACAATATAAAAATCTTTAAGTCTATTACTTGCCTGTGGGAAGTCATTGATCTCTAACTCTTCCTCATATCTCTTGAAAGATTCATTCTGTCCACCATCCTGTCTCTCCTCTTCTTGTTTTTCTAAAGGCACGTAATTGAGCTTGGCATTGATCTTCTCAGCAAGTTGCTCTGCAATGGTTTTTGCAGACACTGTGGGAGCCAGTATGGTGCCACCCCTGAGAATTGCATTGGTGGCTTGTTGCATCACATCCTACAGTAAAAGACCTCCAGTTAAATCTCAACTGAGCACAGAGACAGGACCAAGGACTTCACCATACATTATTCTCCTAAAAGCCACTAACTATATAAACAAAGTATTTTTCTAATGTCGGGCCCCATACATGCATGCAGTTAGGCACTGAATGTCTGTAACAGTGTAATGTTAATGTATCTCTAATTCCTGATGACAAACATTTGATGACCCAGTAAACATTCTCCTGGGTCACAGACATACTCTTGATCACTAGCTAGCTCCTAACAGCATATATAGTGCTTAAGTTCTAAAATCACATATTTTATGACTCCTGAGCATCGCCACTGAATCTTTGTGCAACCACTATCACTAAGCCTTCACCCACACCCAATGAACCATGTAAACATTCAATAAATTACAGGAAATGGCTTACTCAAAATATTGTCAGAATCAACTGAATCTCCCATTTTTGGAGACACAACATCTCACTATATAGGCTGGGTTTGCCTGGAACTCACAGAGACGCCTCTGCCTCTGAGTGCTGGAATTAAAGGTATGAACCACCACACCCTGCCCAATGAAATCATTCTTTGGGCATGGTATGAAAATTTTAATTTTGTCTTCTTGAAAGTTAACAATGGAGAGATGGCTCAGGGGTTAAGAACACTGGTTGTTCTTGCAGAAGACCTGGGTCCGAGTCCCAGCACCCACACAGCAGCTAACAACTATCTGTAACTCCAGTCCCAGGGGATCCAACAGCCTCTTCTGACCACCTCTGTGGGCATTGCACAACACAGGTACACTTACCTACATGCAGGCAATACACGCATACACATAATAAAATAAAATTTTCTTTTTTTTTGGTCTTTTTGAGACAGGGTCTTCCTGTAGCCCCAGCTGTCCTGGAATTCACTATGTAGACCATGCTGGCCTTGAACTCACAAGAGATCCTCTTGCTTCTGCCTCCCGATTCTGAGATTAAAGGCATGCGCCACCACGCCCGGCTAAAAAATTTTTTTTAATTAAAAAAAAAAAGTTAACAATGTCATTCAAGGTCAGCCTGGTCTACATAATGAGTTCCAGGCCAGCTGGGGCTACAGGGAGGCCCTGTCTCAAAGAGTCCAAAAAAAAAGTTAACAATGTCAAGGCTGGGTGTGGTGGCTTCTTGCCACTGAGGGCTACATAGTGGAACCTTGTGTTTAAAAAAAAAAAGGTAACATAATGGCAAGCATGGTAGTGGCACATTTCTGTAACCTCAGCATTTAGAAGGCAGAGGAAAGAGGATCACTGCCAGTTCTAGGTTGATAAGGGTTATACAATGAAATCCTGTCTCCAAAAACCAAATTAACAAAACCACAAAAACTCTTCCAAAAAAACAAAATTCATTTAAAGAACATTGCTCCATTGTTTAAGCATGTTGAATTAAAACTGTGTTCATAGGCCAGGCATGGTGGAGCACAACTTTAATCCAAACTTTAGGGAGGTAGAGGTAGTGGATCTCCATGAGGTAGAGGCCAACTTGTCTACATAGCATGAGTTCCAGGCCAGCTAGGAAAACACTGTGAGACCCTGTCTCAAAAAATAAAACAAAACAAAACCCACAAAACAAGCTAGGTGTTCAAACATCTAGGGAACTGTTTAACCCACCCAATGAAAAAGATTAGGAAAGAAAAAGAAAATCAATTCCCTTAAAAAAATAAAAACCAGCAGAGGCAGGTGGATCTCTGTGAGTTGGAGGTCAGCCTGGTCTACATAGTAAGTTCCAGGTCAGCTGGGGCTACAGGAAGACCCTGTCTAAAAGCCCCCCCAGAAAATCCTCATAGTACAAGTTCAGTGTCCTTTATCTGGAATGCTTTGGGAGAAAAGCATCTTAAGTTTTAGGTTTTGAATTTCAGAATATTTGTACAGATTTTATTAGTTGAATATATGTAATGTATTCAGAAAATCAAAATCAATCCAAAATGCTACAAAAATCCAAAACTTTTTGAGCATCATCAGGTCACCAATGAAAACGTTTCAGATTTTGGAGTATTTTGTATTTCTGGATCAGGGATTCTCAACTGTTCCATACAAGCTATCTATGTTGAACATACCTAACAAACAGGCTTCCCAGAACTGCTCTGTGCAAACTAACCCCAGCTAACATGCCTACGAGGTTTTTGAGAAGAGGCAGGTAGAGAAATCATCCAAATGTAAATATCAAAGAATCGAGGACTGACAATGCTAATTTTTTTTTTAAGATTTACTCTGATTATTTTTACCTACGTGTGTGTATGCCCATGTGTGCAGAGGTCACAGGAGTTGGATCCTCTGGAGCTGGGGCTATAGGGTGCTTGTGAGCCACCCAATGTTGAGTGCTGGGAATTGAACTCTGATTTTTTGGAAGAACAGTATGTTCTTCCATGACTGAGTCATGTCTCCAGCCCCAAAATGCTAAATTCTTAATAACTCTATTTCTAACAAAACTGTTCACTTGTGTTCAATATAATTCTTTTTTCCTTTCTTTTTTCTTTATTTGGTCTTTTTGATACAGGGCCTCACAATGTTTTCCTAGCTGGCCTGGAACTCACTATGTAGACCAGGCTGACCTTGAACTCACAGAGATCTGCCTGCCTCTGCCTCCTGAGTGCTGGGACTAAAGGCATGCGCCACCACACCCGGCCTTCAATATAATTCTTGAAAAGTGTTAAAAGTGATGACTGAAGCAGGTGTGGTGGTACACACAAGTGTGGTGGTATAATCCCAGTTTTGGCAAGCAGAGGCAGGAAAGAACAGGAGTTCAAGGCTAGCCTTGGCTACACAGAGAGTTTGAGGCCAGTCTGAACTACAAGAGAAAATGAACAAAAAAGCCACAACCTACCCACATTGAAGGACATTTAGGGACACAAATTTAGACTCTACAGACCTTATTATATATATAATACATTGAACTGGGCAGGAGGCAATAAAGGGAGGTGGGGACAGGGGAGGGGATCTAAATACCATCAAATTATATAGTACGAAAACCACAAAAATTCAAACAAATAAACAAAGGGGGAAAGAAAAAGTGACATTTCCCCCAGTTTTTGGATCTACACTCTAAGGTTCTCATGTCATAAGAGTAATGACTAAGACTCGGAACAAATTACTTAATACCTGAGACTCGATGCCCAAATTCTTCTGAGCATTGATTCTGAGAGCCAGTCTCTTTGCAATTTCCAGTTTCTCGGCATTTCCTGCCGTGGGGGCAGGCACACTAGATGTGCCAGGTGCAGCCATGTCCTTTACTCTCTTCTTCGAATTAAACATGCTTTCAATTTGTTCATCAATCTAGGCCAGAAAAAAGTCGATTAGTAAAAATTGGATTAGAAATATTAATAGAGTTGTACCTACACAAACAAGAAATGTCTCCATTCAGGCTGGGCTTCCTGGCTCACGTCTTTAGTCCCAGCACTCGGGAGGCAGAAGCATGTAGATCTCTAAGAATTTAAGGCCAGCACTCGGGAGGCAGAAGCATGTAGATCTCTAAGAATTCAAGGCCAGGATCAAGGAGATCCTGTCTCAAAAAGACCAAAACAAAAAAAGAGAAACAATGATGGACTGTGACCTGGAATTACAGGAAAAAAAAAAAAAAAAAAAAAAAGAAAAAAGAAAAAAACCAAAAAAAAAAAAAAAAAAAAAAAAAAAAAAAGTATCTCCATTAAAAGGCTAGGTAGGATTAATTAAATTTATATAAATTCAATTACATGGAGCAACAGAAAAATATACCAGCTCTTCCTTAAGGGCAATGTATTTCCTTCAAAAATCCAGTGTCTGTGGAAGAAATTTAAAAAACAACTAAAGAGGGGCTGGAGAGACGGCTCAGCGGTTAAGAGCACTGACTGCTCTTGCAGAGGACCCGGGTTCAATTCCCAGGACCCACATGGCAGTCACGAACCGGAATCTGAAGCCCTCTTCTGACCTCCTCTGGGATTGCATGACACGGGTGCACTCACATACATGCAGGCAACACACTCATACACATAAAATAAAAATAATAAAATATAATTTTAAAAAAAAAACAATATACAATGGCACATGAATCACTTAGTCTCCTGAGAGGCACAGAAGATATATCCAAGTTTTGCCAATGAGGAAACATGGACTCTCAGGACAGAACAGTTCATATGATACACTCAATTGCTTCAGGATTCAGACCTATTTCACACAGCCAAATCCTTGTGATGAAAAAGGTTAGAAGAAAGGCTATAACAAGGCGAGTGGAAAGTAAAATTATAGCTAATAATTCTCAGGAAAAATGGTGCACTGTGTTCTTAAGAAGAACTACTTCAAACTCCTAAATTACCAAAAAAAAATTTTTTTTGAGACGGTCTCATGTAGTTCAGATTGACCTCAAACTCACTGTATAGCTGAGGACTGCTTTGAGCTCTGGACCCTCTTGGCATGGACTACTATACTCAATTCACTGAATGCTGGAGATCAAACCAGGGCTTTGTACATGCTTGCCAATCACTCTATCAACTAAGCCACATTCTCAGCCAGCATTCTAGGGATCAAGTAAGCAAACAATAAAGGGAAGGGGAAGGGGAGGGAGAAGGAGGGCTTCCTTATCAAGGTGAGAGTGATACGAAATCATCAATTCTCAGAACTCACATGAATTCTAGTGCGGTTAGCTACACTTTATTTTTAAAAGGCATA